TGTATATATATATATATATATTAAGATCCCTTATGTATTTGATTGTATTTTCTCATTTTTTTGAAACCATTTGATATGGTGGTTTTGTGTGGGTTTGGTGCCATTTTTTGGGACCTCCTGCAATCTCTATCTGTACCCTACTTTTTATTTAATATATATATATATTCTTATAAATTTGTTGATATTTGATTCTAATTAAATGTGTGCAGTTCCAGAGGATAAAGGATGCGATTGCAACACATAACACAGCTCGGTGTAGTATCGGACCGCCTGCAGGTGTTGGTGATATTGACCTCTCAGATTTCCCAAAGGAAAAGCCTGCAGAAGCCACCACCAAGTAGATCTTCAACGCCATATTAATGTTTAGGAAAGTTTACATACATACCCCTTATTTCTTATGTATTTACATATCTAACACTTACTACTTCAATCTTTACATACATGCCACCTTATTTACCTATGAAAAAGTGTATTTAGCTTTTTATAAGTTAAAATGGTGGCATTTTTTTTTGTGTGATAGGAAAGATTTAGTGCTGATTTAGGTGTTTGATATGTAAATATATACAAATTGGGTGGTATGTATGTAAATGCTCCTAACATTTAATTTATATATTTACTATTGTAGGCCATTTGGCTTCTTATACCTTATTGCCATCCTCAATTCTTTTAATATTTTGTTCGTTCAGCAGAAAATTACTCCTCTTATCATTTCAATATATATATATATATATATATATATATATATATATATATATCATGATAGAGTATTCTTTTTGATGTTTAAGTTGTCATTATGTGATTGTGGGTGATTAATTTGGCTATTCTGGAGATCCAGTGGGTTTAAAAAGATTGATATTTACAAATTTGACCCTTTTGATTTTTTTTTAACTATGGAATTGGTGTATTTATGCATGCCATGATTAAATTATTTAGAATTTGATAAAAATGAAAAATATGGGTTTTGGGGTTTAACCATGAATTTTGATATTTGAGTGACTATTTGAAGAATGGATCAAAGAGGGTGGTTGATTTATAAATAACAAGTTTTGGGCGGGTTGTATGTAATTGCCCCTTCTTTAATATGTGTTGGGCTAAGTATTTAGGATTGGATGTTAGACATCTTTAGCCGGCCATCTTGATCACTCTCCTTATAAGTATATTGAATGATTGGGAAGGCATGCACTTTTCTCAATGGCTGATGAACATAAAACACATTCTTTGTCATGCATTAGGTGAAGGCTGGGTAGTATTGTTAGCCATGACTTTAGACTTCATGTTTTTTGGGCAGTTTGATCATAATGTCTTGCCATTGGCATTAGTTGAGGAATTTTGGATGTTGTCTTTTGTTATATGTTGGGTGATGATTGATAATGAACATTGTAGGTTTTGACAGCGATGGACAGTCTAATTCAATTGTTGCCTTCATGGGGAAACATATTTGGTGGTTGAAAAAGCTTACAATGGACATTCGCTACTGATGAATGTTAAAACATTGCTTTTGCGTAATGTGCCAAGAGATTGATGATGAACAGATAAATTTGTGCTGTTGGATGATTTGAAATACAATCATAAGTCTTAAAATGTGGAATGATTATGGTGGATGTTAGTCGTTAATGTATATTGGACACCACCTTTCAATAAACATAAGATGGTAATTGACAATGAACTTTGGAAGTCTGGCAACATAATGTTATTTGAATGACTCATTAAAGATGGCTGGAGGCTCGTATATATATAATCTAGACAGTCTAACCAGACAAAATCTCACTGGTACATTGTCAACTTACATACATACCATCCAATTCCTTGTGAGAGTTGAGTGGTATATATATAAATCTTCCTATAATTATCCGTAAAATGGAAAAAGCTCGAATATATACGATAAATAGTATTGTCAACATCAAATTTTATCTAAATACACATCAAAATGTAAGAAATTCAGACATAATTCAGTGGATTTGGACAATATAACTTGGGAATAAAATGCAATAGAAATAATACAGCTCAAAATAATTTTAGAAAAGATTGCAAAGAACTTTTACAAAGATGAAAAATTGAAAATGAAATGAAGCGAAATTTGGAAGTGAATTTGTCCACCTTTGAAGCACATTAAAACTTGGATAAATCACTATATGTTGATTGTTGCATCCCATAGCCGCAGAACTCCATTTCGCCCACCACCACATATCCGCTTTCTATCAAGGTCGGATGCCACACAGCGAATCTGAACAAGCAGAAATTAAGATATATTTGAGACCATGCTAATTATTATTATTTTTGAGATTTTATGTACAAGCCACACAATTCTTATGTATTTACATATATAACACCTAAACTTCAAAGTTTACATATATGCTACCTCTAAGCATGCATGAAAGGATGAAAAATTTGAGTGGCACTACAAGTATAAAAAACAAAATTTTAAGTGTTAGATATGTAAATACATAAAAGTTAGGTGGTATGTATGTAAATGACCCTTTTTCTTTTTTTTTAATGAAATTGAGAGCTGAAGCTTAATAATGTGGCTACTTCGGATTCAATACAAAATACAATCAAAACAAAATCAGAAAGATGACTTCATTGCAAAATCCTTTTCAAAGAGATAAAATGCACTTTACAGCAAATAAAAAAGGAGGATTTACATACATACCACCCGATTCTTATCTATTTACATATCTAACACCTAAACTTCAACATCTACATATAATATACACCTTCCTTATGCAAGAAAAACTGTATTTCATCTTTTTTAAGTTAAAATAGATGCATTTTAGATGTGAAATGAGAATTTTGGGTGGAATAAAGGTAAAAGGTACTAGATATGGAAATACATAGGAAATTGGCGGCATATATGTATAGAATGAAACATATAGATATGAAAATGTAAAACATACCACCGCCACGGATTTCTGAGGTGTTCTGTAGAACTGCCATCCAGGCATTTTTGAGCCCCCAGAGCTGGAGAAACCACCGAGTCTTTCCTGAGGGCGGTGGAAAAGGGACATGGAATTATCGGCAGCACCAATACCCAGCCAGTGTTCTCCGGCATTAACAGATAGAATGGAGCCAGAGTGGGCTGTTATATTCTTCACGCATCTTACTCCTGCTCACACAATCAAAGATATAAATTAATATTACTCGGACAATCGACGAAATATGAAATTTACATACATACCACACAATTCTTTATGTATTTACACATCTAAAACTTAATCTTTTATATTTACAAGAATAGCACTCTAATACTTTCTTTTTAAAAGTGAATACACCTTTTCGTGCATAGGTTTATGAGGCCAAGGTGTTCTTAGGGTAAATATAAAAGTTTAGGTGTTAGATATGTAAATACACAAGAATTGTGTGGTATGTATGTTGATTTCCCAAATAATAATAGCAATAAAAAAAGGACCAAAAAACAAATAGATAAATTTACATACATACCATCCAATTCCTATATATTTACATATCTAACACCTAAACTTTACTTTTTTTTACATTAATGCTACCCAAATCTGTCATATTACACCAAACATACCACTTTTAAAAAGTGAAATACACATTTTCATGTTTGGCTAAGGGCATATATGTAAAATTTGAAGTTTAAGTATTAGATATGTAAATACATAGGAATTAAGTGGTGATATTCTATACAAGTAATGTTGACACAGTTGGTCAGGCGGGAATTCAAAGATCCAAGTCTGTCCTCGTTGATTCACAGTAATGAAAAAGTGAGTCACTAAGCATCAAGTCATCTTGTCCAAACTTTATGATTATAAAACCTACACTCACAGGCCATCCTACATTAAGATGAGAAGATTTAAATCTGAAACCTTTAAATCTTAGAGCTTCTTTAACAAAACAGAGTATTAAGTACTAATAGTCAGCATGGAAAGAGGTTAAAATTATTAATGACACCCATGAACATCAAGGCATTAACTGAAACCATAGTAGGGCTCCTAAAAAATGTTTAGAACGTAATCTAGCTGAGAGGTGGTTATGGAATAACAAGGGAATGATAATTGGAATAAAAAGGGAATGATAATATGCTTGATCGACAGCATTTGAAAGGTAATATGAGACATTTGGCGGTTTTCCGAAATGAAAACAGTTGAAAGAGCCACAAAACACCAACTCTAATGAAGTACGATTGTTGAGGGAGATCCACCACTTATTCTTAATCAAGCTATAGACACACAACTTATAAAAGGAAGAGTATACGATATCATTCGGGCAAAAATCAGTGAATACCATCCACAAAATACACAAAACAAAACAAAAGTGATGTGGGACATCTCTCAACTACAAAGTGTATGCGGGATCATGTGATCTTGTGACCGCGCATGCGCCGGCTCATGCTAACGCCCCATAGCTGATCTGTTCCATTTTTTAGCAAGTTTGCTCATTTCCTTCCATTTTTTTCGAATCATTTCCTATGTATGTGTTCAACTAGGGTTAGATTTCAGTTTTTTGCGTGAGTTTGTTTAGGATAGCCACCGGAGTCAGTTTTCTCACTTTGAGGGCTGAATTCAAGGGTTGAGTGATGCTTTGGCTATATCTCGCTCCCGAGGTGGTGATTTATCCTTTCCAAACTCATCCGCATCACTCCCTCTTCGCTGCCACAGATTTATTTTGGCTGCAGTGGCCCAGACAGCAGCCTTTTGCTGTTCTTCCTGCAATTTTTCCACTTTTCCTCGCTTCCATCACATTCCCTTCACTGCCGCCGCCCTCCCTTCGCTGCCACAATCCAGCATAGCACTTCTCCTGTTGTTTGGACACTGTCCCCAGCCCCTCGCCCTTGCTGCCACCGCCCATAACTTCCTGCCTTCTTGCTTTTGGCTGTTTCTTACCTCCCCTTTGCTATCATCATTGCCCCCTTGCTGTCACCCTACCTTCCAGCCCATCCACAGCCCTTTGCTACCTCTCTTGAGGTCCGAACCCTCGTCGATCACCACCAACACCCCAAGATCCACTCTAATTTGAGTTGGTGTTGTCATTTGTCGCTATTTCCTATTTCCTATTTCAGCTCACCACTACCTAGCCCAATAATAGAATACCGAACAAGATTCTTGGATTCAAAGTTCCTCTCATTGTTTTAATGGAAAAATACTCTCGTGTTAGAGCATTCTCATCCAATCTTCCTCAAAATATTTAGCTATCTCTTTTGTCCATATTCACCAACCAAACCACACAAAACTCAACTGAAAATCCATCAAGTGTATGTTCCTTGGGTATGCCTACAACAAAAAGGTATAAATGTGTTATTTTTCTATTACCAAAAAAAATATTACAACTCTATGGATGTCATATTTTTTGACAAATCAATCTTACTATCCCAAATCCGATGTTCAAGAGAAAAGTTCCAATAAACATCAGCTTTGGGATGTACTTATTGACACCTATACGGTAACCTCACCTACTCCTCTTATTACTCTTCCACCCTACCCTCCTACTCTTGTTGAGAATATCCAACCAACCCAACCTAAAGTCCACAATAAAAAACTCGTGTGTACACTAGGAGGAAAAAAAATCTTGAGCAGGTGGAAGACAACTTGCAAAAAAGAACCGCTCCGACCAAAACTTATGTTAACATTTACTCAAAATTTCGGATGAGGAGTGATGCGGGCGTGTGGGGAGCTGGCTGAACCGGCCATGTGCTAGACCGGCCAAGGCTGGATCAATAGGCTCTAAGGGGCGGGAATTACCATCCCTTCCCCCTCTCCTTGTTATTCCACTTCTTCCATAGAGAATTCTCCTTCCTATTCTATTGCGTACCTTGTCTACCACCTTCCATTTCTATTCCTTTCCAAATTCTAATCCCATCCTATTCTTATTGCTAGATCCATTATATATATGTTGTGTTTTTCCTGGGGTTAACTAGTTTTTGTTGATTCCATTTTTTAGTTTGCTGTCTTTGAGGCGTTTTTCCCTTTTAAGGGCTGTAAAGGACGACGAGAAGATACTCCGCTGTAATTCGGCCAAGGTGACGACTCCAACGGTTAGATTGATGCTTCGGCTATAGCTCAACCCCATCGCCGCCGACCCCTCTCCCAGTAGCAGCAAGATCTTTCTTGCTCCCCTTCCACTAGGCCGCACCTCCCCAATAACCTTCCAGATTGCCGTCAGTGTTCACTGCTCCCTTCCAGCAGGTCGCACCCCCTCTAGCCTCTCCCATAATTGCCGCCAGACTCCCATGTTCCTTGCTAGTAGTCCGCACCACTTCTAGCTCCTCCCATGATTGCCGCCAAACTCCCCTTCTCTCTGCCACATACTAGGCCATATATTACATACTATGCCAGTATTGTGAGCCAACACATGAATATCCCAAATGAAGAGTATTTGAAGATGGTTTACAAGATTTCGAGTTTTCTCAAGAAGACTCCTGATTATGAATTAATTTTTAAGAAAACCAGAAACATATAAGTGGATGTCTATACTGATGCTAGTTCGGAGTGAGAACTCACTCACAGAAGGTCCACCACATGTTATTGCTGATATGTATCAGAAAATTTGGTTACATGAAGAAATAAGAAGCAAGCTACTTTTTGGAGAAGCAGCGCAGAATTAGAATATATGACACTTGTCTTAGAGATCTGTGAAGGGATCTAGATTCAAAAATTGCTAAGAGAATTAGAATGTTCTTCCAATAGGCCTATACAGATGTTCTATGATACTTAAGCAACTATCAATATTGCCAAGAATCCTGTAAGTGATGACAGAACCAAGCATATTGAAGTTGATAGACACTTCACATTAGGAAAGGTAACAGGGGATTTATATAACTAAGCTATATCCCAACACACCAACAAGTTGCGGATGTCTTCACTAAAGCTCTTTCTTTCAAAACCTTCTTAGAATTCAATACTAAGCTCGATTTCTACAACATATATGACCCGGCTTGTGGGGGAGAGTGGAAATCTGAAAAGATTTGACATTTTCCATATGTACCTCTCATGTGGGCCTGCCACCACCTAAAAATCTTGGAAGATTTGATTTTGAGACATTAAGAAACCTTTGATTGGTTTTTTCCCTTCCTTTTTTATGTTTTTCAATTTTTTTATTTAGAATTATTTCCTTTACTAATTTAGGTGAGATATGTTTGGTAAGTTTTGCAAATAAGGAAGAATTGATTTCCCTATATATATGTACCCCTATTTGTGAATAATGAAACAAGGAACTATTCCTCCCCCAAAACCTACATTTCTACATAATGCTTGAACACCTCTTCGCTTTACTCCTAAAGCATACTTTGAAGTGCATAGTTAACAACACCAATGACACTTTTGAGCTTTCAAAAAGCTTAAATCAAAATACTCTCACTTTGGAGTTTTTCAAAGAGCTTGCATCAAAATGTACTAGGGATGGCAAAAAAACACCGACCAACCTCAATTAGTCCTATCTGAACCCACATCTGATTAACAATTGGATATACAAAACAAAACTGCGAGGTTAAAAAAAAATATCCCAAACTCTTTGTGGTAAGCAGCAAACATGTTGGATACCAACACCCAATAACATAGCATAATAACTATATAATATAAAGTTTTTAGACTTATAAGTCTTTTGTAGCCATAGTTTTGGTGGAAATGAACGTTACTTTACTGTTAAAAAAAGATACATGAATTGGCTCAATATCAATGTGGGCATTAGTAGAAGGTAGTCCTTTAAAATATCTCCCAATATTATTTGCTCTGTAAAATTTTTGGATACAATTTATTGGAGTGCTTGAACCTATCAGTTTTCTTCAGGATTATCAGACCATTGTGCCCATCCTTGCTAAAGCCTTTTGAAATGGTCACTAAAATTTTGGTTGTCAAGACAATTGAATTTATCTCGTCAATCCTACAAGCTACCCCTCTCACTCCTATTAGTGAGGACAATGTTGAACTAGACATTCTGAATCTTGAGAAATTTGATGGAAACATTAAGTGAAAATATTTTAGCTGATAGAATATTTTAAATCTTTTTTTACCAGATGAGAATATAAAAACAAAAATATATTGACATTCTTTAGTTTTCACCAAGCTCCAAGTAAGGCAGTTCAAATTTGTTCTCCTTTGTTATTTTTTGATTGGATGGCTTCAAGCATTATGCATTTGTCAATCCTTATATTCTTCATACTATAGCAATTCAAGGCAATTACACAAACTTATGTCATTATATAATATCAGGAATTTAAAAAAATTTGAATAACCACCCTAAATCAAATGATCCGATAATCAATTTGGGTTTGTTAGAAAAAATAAACTATCAATAAGACAATTGCTATGCCTAAAAACACCCCGCAACCCAAAACCATAACACCAAAATTCAAAATCATCCATCCCTTCAAACAACCGCAATATTCATGTCAGTTGCATATGCTACATCCCGCTCAAAACACCCTCATGCAGTACGTAATTGCGGCCCTCATAGCCTCTGGCACATGTAATTGTTCTCACATCACTCCTCTGTCGTATTACTCTCCATCACACTCCGTTCGTCAGCATTCGTTCATCTTTTGAGCTCATGTTCCTCTTTGCCGGCACTGTCTCATCATTGTTAGCTAATTATCTTTGTGACATAATTTGATTTTTTTTTCTTTTCAATCAGCAATCCTCTGCAATTGCAGGAGGTCTTACTCATTTCATTAAACTTCATATTTACATTCATACATCTCTCAAAAGGAGGCAAACATGAAGAGAAGCTACAGAAAAAAAAATCTCTATTTGAGGAAACGGTTCATGGGCTATTCAACAATGATATGAACAATACTACCTTCTTCGTTTTCCCAAAGCTTTACAAGCCCATCAGCTGAACCTGAAATGAGCATCAACAAAATTCCTCAAGATGTAATTAAAAAACAAAGTTTAATTGTACATGTATTGAATAATTTGAAATTGAGAAATAAGGATTAAATCATCTCATTTTATCGACCTCCTAAAGACGAAATTGAAGGCATACCAGTTATTATCCCTTTATCCGATGAGGAGTATTCGACGCAAAGAATAGAACCAGCATGACACGCTAGCACAGCATCACAACTTCCTCGAGAAACAGACCAGAGTCTAGCCGTCCAATCATCACTTCCAGTGAGCAAGATGTCCCCAACCATCCTTACAGAACTGCATTATCAGCAATGGTTAAACACAGCATTTATCAGTGAGATGTCCAAAATCAAAATTAGAATGGGGCATTTACATACATAACACACAATTCTTATCTATTTATATATCTCACACATAAAATTTGATATTTACACACAACACTCAAATTTTTAATAATGACACAAAAAAATACTATTACCACTTTTTAAACGAGTAATACATCTTTTCACACAGGTTTAAAGCACGGAAGTGCCATGTATGTAAATATGAAAGTTTAGGCATGTGAAATATATACATATATGGATTGTGTGCTATGTATGTAAATTTTCCTTAAATTATAGGATCTTCTGCCAAACCGGATCCATTTACTGTGCCCTTGGAGCTTCTGCATCTGTCGACCAGCACGAATGTCCCAAACATGTGCCGCCCTGAAAAGACAAAGGCATATGACTTGGTAAAGATATAAAAGTGACCAAATGGAAATCAACATCTTTAATTAAAGGCTTGTTTGGGATCAAGTTTGCTTTCTATTTTTTTTTTTATTTTTTATTTTATTTTTAAAAACATGTTTGTTTAGTGTATTTTTTATATGCTTTTATTTTATTATAAGAACAAATTAATATGTTTTTAAAAACACTCAAAATAATTTTTAGAAATTTTGGGGTTTTCGAAAAGAAGAAAGTGTCAAAATAATCCTCTGATTCTTTGCAAAGGGTCATTTAGCCCCAAAGTCTATAAAGTGTCAATTTAGTCCATCGACTCTTTTAATATGAGCTGAAACAATCCTCACGATGGATCATAGAAGCCCCAATTTAAAGAGCATAGGGATGAATTCGACACTTTTATGAACTCTGGACTAAGCAATGTAAACATTTAAGGAATAATTTTGACACTTAACTTATTTTAAACAATAATCATATCTTAATTAAACATATTTTTGTTTCAAATCAAAACATGAACTTCTCGAAAAAAAAATCAAAACATAAATAAAACAAAATAAAAAATAAAGAAACATAAAACAAAAGTAATCCCAAATGGCTCCTAAGTATATGTGGGTATAACATACACATCTCTTCCAGCAGCTGCTAAAATTCCAGTGGAGTCATCATATTCCATGCAAAGGACTGCACTAGAACAGCGGCCAACAGTAGCTACGCAAGTATCAGTTCTCACATCCCACATTTTCACTGCACCATCATGAGCTGCAGTAAGAACCCTTTCACCAGATAGCATCCGTACACAACTCACCTATAAAGCAATTATTATGACCGTCATAAAGAAAGACCGACTAGAACAAAAGAAGGGGCATTTACATACATTCCACTCAATTCCTATGCATTTACATATCTAAAAACTAAAATATATGACACCGAAATCTTTCATATCACTAAAAAACCACCATTTTAAATTTGAAAAAATGAAATACACCTTTTCCTGTATAGGTAAAGGTGGAATGTATCTAAAAATTGAAGTTTAGATGTTAGATATGGAATTGAGTGGCAGGTATGAAAGCTTACGAGTTACATCATCTGTAAGAAAATTGAAAAAGGTGTTCAGCGATTGAGAAAAAAATTTAAAACAGAATAAGAAATCCACAAATAGGGAAGAGCG